TTCTACAGTTATGAATTATAGCTCGTTTGAAAGATCTCTTTGAGCTGGATCTAATGGTAAAGTCTAAATCTATCTGTGACTACTAAATTACTTGTAAAAGCGATATAATAAATAAAATACATTCAAGAAACTAGCTATTTATAAAAATACTAATAATTAAATAATAAAATAAAATAAAATAATAATGAGAAAAATAATTGAAACTCATTTTATAACAGTACGTAGACTGTCAGAGAAAAACTTATGATTCTAGATTATTTAGAAAATAATAATAGTAATATATGTGAAACTGCCAAGTAGTTTACTTTGGAGCCAAAGCAAATACGTGACTAGAAAAGTAAAAAAGACAAACTATTACAAGTAGCTCTATATGTTGAAAAACTGCATTCAGGGAAACAAGCCAAATATTCAGACTTAGAAGACAAATTGTTTAATTGGATTAACGAAACTAGAGCTAGTGGAAATCCAGTTACATGCTATTTAATTAATAAAAAGGCTATAGACTTGTCTCAACATGAGTTTCACTTACAATACTCTGATATTATTCACTTTAAATTTTCAAACAGATGGCTTGATGCTTTTTTTATGTGATATAATCTTTCAAATAGACGTAAAACAACAATAGCTCAACACCTTGCACCAGATTTAATTGATAAACAAAATTCTTTTTTGAGTTATATGTTGTATCGTAGAATCCAACATGACTATCCTTTAAAGTATATTTGTAACATGGATGAGACACTACTTTGGTTTGATCTACTAAATAACAATACTATTGATATAAAAGGCAAAAAGTCTATTAGTATTCGTACTACTGGTTATAAAAGATCTTCTTTTACTGTTATACTCACATATATAGCAGACGGAACTAAACTTCTAGCAGTTTGTATTTTCAAATTAAAAAATGTTCCTCGTGAGAATTTTCCACATGATATTTATATTAGAGCTAATGAAAGTGGTTGGGTAAATGAACAAGAAATGTTATAGTAGATAGAAACAGTTTGGAATCAAAGAAACCGTCTAGGTAATCCATGATCTATGCTAATTATAGATATATTTCATGCACATCTTATGGATTCAGTAAAAAACCAGTTAGTAGAAAAAAATACAAACCTTGTGGTTATTCCATCTAGTTGTACTTCCAAATTGCAACCTTTAGACGTTGTAATTAATAAAAGCTTCAAATCTAAGGTATTGTAAATTTTATTTATTATAACAAATTGAGTAATCTTTTGTACAAAAGATTGCTTAGTTCGTTACATATCTTATATTTTATTACTTTATATTGTATAAAATAACAAATATTAGGTTCGAGAATATTATAATAGTTAGATATCATCCGCAATTCATACTTTTACACCAAAAGGTTGTATTAGAAAACCTTCATACTCTACTGTAGCAACTTGGGTTAGAGATTCATGAGATAATGTTGATACTGACCTTATTAGGAGATCATTTAAGTGTTGTGGAATTTCAACACAAACGGAAGATTCTGAGGATTATATGCTTTTTAACTATGATAATTTACTAGAACAAGATGAAGTAAATAATAATTTGGGTGATAGCGAATATGGTGATAGTGAACATAGCGATAGTGAATATAGTGATCATTATATTGAAGACAACAAATATAGAAATGAGTGGAATATTGCTAGCGAGAACTAAAATAGTATTGTTAACAATTACAATGAAAATAATGAGAATAATGAGGATTATGAGTATAATTGAGTACTACAGCAATAGTGATAGAAATGATATAAATGATAATCTTTATAGACTATCAATTTAAAGTTTAAAAATTTTTTTTCATTTGAATCTTTTTTTTTTTTTGAGATTTTTTTTTTTTTTATACTTTTTTTCAATATTTGCTATGTGAATCAGTAGTATTAGTTTATAGATCAACAATTTAATGTTTGAAATTTTATTGCAATTTTTATTTTTTTTTTTTAACATTTGCTATATGAATATAGATATTAGTAATCATTCGCTATAAGAATATAGATATTACGGTACGTAGTAATTTTAGGTATTATTATTCTTAAAGTATAGAGTTCAAAGAATAACATAGAACAGCTATTCATTTTCTTAGATCAAAAATTTAAAGAATATTCATTAATCTGTTGCACTTATGGAATTGAAAGACAAACATCGAAAAGGCTAGAATATTTAGAGTGGAATTGAGATCAAAAAGCTGAACATAAGACATTTTTAGTTACTAAAATAGGAAATGGCATTGAATTACTATAGATTAAATATAAGGCATTCATTATTAACATTCACTAAAGTTAGAACATAAACTAGTAAGATAAATGTAAGGCATTCAATATCAAAATCTGCTAAAGTAGGAATTCTGATAGAACTAAATAAGGTGGATATTAAGTAGCAAACGCTAGTTAAATTAGATAGGTTTAATTATGAATACTAAAGTAAATACTAGTGGGATTAAAGTTATACTGTAAATAGGGACATTATAGTAAATATGTTTTATAAAAAAAAAAATGTACAATAAAATTTATATAATTTGCTTATAAAATATTTGTAAATTTTTTTATTTAAATAATCTCTTATCTAAGACTTTATTTTCAAATATTTTCTATCTATCTTAATATTAAACTTCCAGATTATTTTTATATATTAGTTTAAATAAATAAATATTAGAATGTAATCTTTAAAAAAATATTAATTGTTAATTGGCTATTCTTTTAATCGACTATAGTCACAACAGATAAAAATAACACTCTTAATTCAGATAATTTTGAATTCTGACGAATATACTATATGTACTTCAGGCATTTTACAAATTATTAAAATGTTCATACATAGCAAAATACCCAAGTACTTCATATTTATTTATGGGAGTACAATACATAGATGATACCCTGGGTATTTTACAAATTTAGAAGCTTGAAATTAAAATATTCATAGCAAAATACTCAGGTATTTCACATTTATTTATGGGGAGTACTTTGCCGAACAGAATACAGTAGATTACAAACTACTATATAATAGATCTAGAATTTAAATCCTATTATTAATAAATTTAAATAATTTTTTAAACCTTGTAATATATTATAATAAACTTTATTTGTTTTTAGAAATATATCTTTTTAAATTAAATTATATTTAGGTCTGGCGATCTTAGTGTAGTGGTTAGGTTGCTAGACCGCCATGCAAGAGGTTTGGGGTTCAAATCCCACTGTCAACAAATTTAAATAATTACCTGAACCTTTGTACCCAACTTACAGTAAACTCTATCTATTTCTGGGGTTGTAACTCTGTAAGTTAAGTTGCATCAAGTCAATCGGATATTGGTAGTGTGGCAGCAGTTAATCATAGGATGATATACGCACACGAATAAATCTTGATAGAAAAAAATATTAGTGTGGTGGTAGTTAATCACAGGATGATATACATATACAAATGATATATGAGCAGAGGACCTGTATAGTAGAAATCCTGAGTTGGTAAAGTAGTACAGCTTTCAATGTTCATACTGGCTAACACTTGATCCAGAAAGGAAACTATTATTAAAGATGCAAATTGAGTCAGATACGCATAAATCCATTCCACAGGGAGGGTCAGTAACACTAACTTGGCTTGGCAACTAACTGGATTGGGAGGATCTACCTTATGAAATATCCGAGAAGATAGACACAGAAAACTGGTGGAGAGCTACAGAAGAAACTGGGGTTATACAAATATCTACAAGGATCTAAGCTAAGTGAGTTCGAGAAATGGGCACAGGCTGCTCTAGTAGATTTGCTTCAAGGTTAACTGGAGCTCTACATGCTTACAATATGATGAGCAACATGCATTCCGAGAGGACCTAAGCTGGTGTCAAAAAATGGATCTAAAATAAGCTAGTTGGCATATGTAGTTAGGTATTATAGTGACATTAGTTTGTAACGAGAATAGGTTAGTTGAACAGAGTGTTTAAATAGGTAACTCACAGGTGGATTGCAGATATAGCAGCATAGTGTAGTACTAATAAGTAGTCTAACGCCTGCATAGCAGACTACTTAAATTAGACAATGACTAAAGTTGTACGTGTAGCTTGTTATACACTCTTCATGTAACTGAAAACTGTAGGGAAACCACATGTGGGACCTCGTATATCAAATTAATAAAAATCGCTCAGCAATGTAAGCCACCTTAAAAATAAAAAAAAAAAAAAAAATTAAATTATATTTAATTGATCTAAATCTAGAAATATAATATAATAATATATAAACAAATCTTAATAAAATATATAAGCAAAAGATCTGAATAGTAGAAATTCTAAATTAGTAAAGTAATATAGCTTTTTTACAGATTATTTTAGTTAATATCTAGAAAGTTTTGAAGTTACTAAATAAAAAAATAATTAAAACTAGCTAAATACTAGAGAAAAACTAAATTAACTAATTAGTAGATAGCTATAATTAAAATTTAAAGTTGTATAAATACAACTCTCTTTGTTGATTACTTCAACCAATTTTGGAGCAGAAAGAAAAATTAAGTTAACTCAAAGATTTTACTAAGAACAAGCATTAGACTCCTTAAGTAAAAAGGAAGAAAAGAAAGAAATACATATACTGAAGTAAAAAGAACAGAAAAAATCTAAAGAAAATTAAGTATTATAGAAGAAGTTTGAGCTTTGGACAAAATACGAAAACTTTTAGAAAATTTTTTGGGGAATCAAACAAACCCTGAAATGCAGATCATTTAATGTAGTACAGACATATGAAAAAAGGTAAACAAAATACACTACAGATAAATTATGTGTCATGTATCTGAAATATAGATAGTATATGCAAGACCAAAACTAGACGAACTACAGGCAATTAGGAAAAATCACTGGGAATTTTAAGAAAAAGGCAAAGTCACTTCAAGATATATCACACTAAGTTTCAAATAAGGAAAAGTATTCTAGACCAAACAAGCAGCTCATATAAACTTATCAGAGAGCAAACTAGAATAACAAAATGTAGAAAAAAGAAAAAACCAAGAGACTAATTAAAGAAGTAATTAAAAAATATAGTAAGAAAATAGTAATAGAAGGGAGTAATGCAGTGTTAGGCTTAGAAAAGCATCTAGACAAAATAGTAGCTGAGTTGATGGACATAGAATTAGAAATTGTTAAAATAGCTAGACAATAGCGTGTAGTAATTGAAAGAGCTACAATAACAGATAGATTCGATGAAGTAAAAGCTCTAATAGAATCAGAAGAAAAGAAAAGAATAAGTTATACAGAAGAAGCAGAAGTAAAGACTGAAGAAATTGAGATGAAAGTAGAAGAAGAAGGATGAGCAACTCCGTACATATCAGTGTTTTTTCAAAACTACACAGAATCAAAAAGCTTAAACAGTGAATTTATATCAACTACCAAAGCAGATAGCAATATATCTGAGGATATAGAAGATATCAAAACAAGCAAAACTACAAGAAGTGCTATACCTGATCAAAAAGATACTGAAGCTAAGAAACAAGTAGATAATGAAGTAAACCTAGAAGTATATGAAGAAGCTTCCCTAAATCAAAGTATATGGGCTCCAAAAAAGGAAAGCTACATAAACAAGGTAAATATCGTGACAAAAGTAGCTGCTATAAATATGTTTGATGATAATTCAGAGCAAAGAGAAAAATCTCATAGATAGTCACTTTGAGAGAATACATACCTAAAGAAGATCTCTGAGAAATTTGACAAAAGGAACCTTTGGTGTATAATTACTTTCGATTGTGAAAATGAATATGAGAAAGCAAGAGTTAAATTAGAAAACTCTAAAGAAGACTTTGAAAAACTGAGACTTATATGAGAGTTGATTCAGCAAATACCTATATTCAAAAAATTACAAGAAAAATTACCAAACAATACAAAAAAAGAAGAAAGCAAAGCTAAAAGGGAAAGTAGAGCAAAGAGAGAGCTCGAAGAAATTTCTAAACAAAGAAAAGAGAAAATATCTCAATACTCTGCCTCAAAACATACAGCTGTATTAGAAAATAATTTAATATTCAATCAACAAGACAAGAAAAGAATAATATAAACAAATGAAGACCATATAACAATATGGGACTTATCAATCTGGGTGAGAAGATCTTAGGTCTTTGAAACAGTACGGTACTTAAGAAGAGTAGCTCACATAGAAATGATTAAAGAGTCTCGTGATAAGACAAGAGCAAAAGTAAGCTTCCTTCCTAATACAACAAATACAAGAGTTTTAGCAGAAACATGATGCTTGCTCTTCATGAGAGATCAACTAGTCAGGGTTACAGTGGGAAAATGCAATCTTGAGGAGTTGAAAGCACACAATATATTTAACAGAAAATTGCTCAACTTGCTAGAAGATACTAACGAAGTCCTTTTATGGAGACAAGTAAAACGTACAGGTGCTAAAGTACTACATATTTTTAGAAATTCTAACAGCAATAGTAGAAGAAGTGCAACTATATACTTTAAAAATAAAAAGGACTACAGAAACAGTATGAAGTTTGCAGTATTTTATTTTAATACTAGACTTAACTGGGCAAAAGAGAAAGATGAAATAATAGAAAATAAAAAAATAGAGACCAAGAAAAGAGAAATATATTATAACAAGATATATAAAGAAAGTTACAACTGAAATATGCAGAGGTTAAGCTCTTCAGATACAGAATCAAGTAAAGATGAAATATCAGATACAGAAAAC